AGCAGCCGTGTTAGTCTGTATCTGCAAAAAGAAAAGGAGTACTTGTGGCACCTTAGAGACTAACCAATTTATTTGAGCGTAAACTTTCGTGAGCGTAAATCCATCCTCATCATCGTATCCACTCATTATACTCCACACCTGAACATAGCCATTATATAATAACATACCCTTATGTCTCTATGTCTGTACTTTGACCAGTTAACCTTTTACCCCTAATCGGGGATATTGCAAATTATGTATTCCTTATGCCATCCGATCCTAAACCGAACTTTGCACCCCTGGATAATCTGATAATCTGTACCTTATTCCCTGACAACCAGAAACTTCTACGCTTAAACTCTGTAGCTCACGAAAGCTTATACTCAAATAAATTTGTTAGTCTCCAAGGTGCCACAAGTCCTCCTGTTCTTTTTATTCATATGAATGAATTTTTGTTTGTATTACACTAGCAATACAACTGCAGACAATACCTGATGTGAAAAGCTCAGTATCACAGTACAAAATGTCTGCCAGAAATAAAATGTTTGGGTACCTATAGCCATTGTTTATGTGCACACAATTTCCCATGCACTCTGGTCCCAAACCAATGCCCACTGAAGTAAATAGGGGTCTGCTCATTGACTGCCACGGGTACTGGCTCTGGTAGTTGTGAATGCAAAAGAAAGAACAAATACCTTCTGGTGGGTTTTACTTGTTTCCAGCTCAGAGATGGAGAATACAGGGAAGATGGAACAAAATGAAGAGCCAAAGTAGCTTGTGTGATTAACTCTTGAAAAAGCACACAGCATCTAGCACACTAAAGGCAGCTAAAAATCCATATTTTCCTAATATAACTTTTCCATGTAAGCAGTCTAGGATGTAACGTGCTCACCAATGGGAGGGAAAGTGGTTTACGCAACTGTGTGGGAGAAGATTTCTATGTTATGCTGTGGTCTATCTTATGAACAAAAGGTTGAGAACACCTGCCTTAGGACCTTAGGCCCCAGTACTGCAATGAGCTCCATCCAGGCAAAATCAAGGCTGTATATCTGTAAGGAGCTCATTCCTGAATTGGGGCCAGAGATTTTGAAAAAAAATCAAAGACTCTGAAGATCCAAACTGATTCTAGATATCTTTGAACAAGTGTCAAAATATCACATTACATTTTATATTCAGCTTATTTTGAAATACTAGGATTATATATAAAGTGCTAAGTATTTTTTTAAAAGACCTTAAATATGGAATTGGCACTATCAAGTTTGAGACTTTTACTGTGAAAATACTTTCCCCTAACATTGGTACAATAGCAGGGTGCTGGTAAGAAATGGGACACAGTTTCTCAGCTTTCAAAAGTAGAAAAATGTATACATGTTTCCTTTTGTCACTTTTGAAAGGGAAAAACATATGCTTTCAGCCTAAAATAACTCATTTTCAGATTCAGGAAAACAGAAACAAGAATGGATGAAAATGTTTTAACACCTGCTAACTAGTCAATAACAACAGTTCTGAAGAAGGTCAACACGAGAGTGGAAAATTGTGGTGGTAAAGATGTTATTGAGGTTGCAGTTGGGGTTGCACAGTTAAAGTTCAATTATATATGAATTATAGGAATAAGATTTCTGAAGGGACATGCTGAGAACTGAAATCCAAAGCCCACTGAAGTCTATGGAAATACTCTTATTGCCTTCAACGGGTTTTGGATCACTCCCTAAACCAAGATATTCCATAGTCTAGGATTTGGATTCATGATCTGAGCAGATTCCTCTCCCTACAAAGATCTATTGGGGAAAGAGAATGTGTTTTTTGTTGCTCAGGAGAAGGTGGAAGAACTTAGCTTTGGAAAGTGGGTGGGCAGAAAAATACAACAAAAATAAGGTGTCTAAGGATGATTCTATTTTTTTTTTTTTTTAAGAAATGAAGTGTGTACGTGTAACATCCCAAAGCAAAGATACAGTATTAATAAAAACTTGTGATTGTTACTTCCTTTGCCGAGGCAGTATCCAGTGTGATTATATTTATTTTTCGCTAGAACAGAAAGTTGACTGAGACATAACCGATTACTTGGTTCCAAAACTCAATTTACATCCTACTCTACAAGACTGGATCTTTTAAAATCTGTTAAAAAAAACAAAAACAAAACAAAAACAAAAAACCACACAGAAAAGCACAAGAAAACACCACCCCCAAAGCAAATTAATTCTTCTGCTGGTACTAGTCACTTGTTCATAACTAAGATTAAGTTTTAGTCATGGGTATTTTTAGTAAAGGTCATGGACAGGGTCATGGGCAGTAAACAAAAATTCCAGGCCCATGACCTGTCCATGACTTGCACTATATACCCCGACTAAATCTTGGGGAGGGGGAAAGCCTGGAGGTGCTGTGGGTGATCGTGGGGGGTGGGGGGGTGGCACTCAGCCCAGGACCCCCACTGGTGCTGGGGCGCAGGGGCTGGCAGGCTCCCTACCCAGTTCTGCGCATCCCTGGAAGCTGCAACATCCCTCAGCTCCTAGGTGGAGGCGCAGCCAGGCAGCTCTGTGTGCTGCCTCCTCCCTGAAGACCAGCTTCACAGCTCCCATTGGCCAGGAACCACAGCCAGTGGGAGCTGCAGGGGCTGTGCCTGAAAGCAGAGGCAATGCACAGAGCTCCCTGGCCATGCCTCCCCCTAGGAGCCGAGAGATGTCACCGCTCCCAGGGAACCGCCTCCACCTCCCCCTCCCCCCCCGAAGTAAGCACTACCCAGAGCCCTCACCCCCTCCTGTGCCCCAACCCCCAGCTCTGAGCCCCCCACCCAAACTCCTGCTGCTGCTGGGGGGCGGTGGTCCACGACTGCCCCAGCAGTAGCCGGTGCAGCTGGCTGAGGGGCCGCCCGAGCTGCTCAGGTGGCCCTCGGGCCAGCCACATCAGCCACTGCAGAATTCACAGAGGTGATAGAGTGTGACTTCCATGACAAACTCGCAGCCTTTTTATAATTATTAATCTTAGAGATTCCAGTTATAAGAAGAGAAAAAAAATGTCTCAGTGTAAATGTTAGTCATGTTGACCTTAGGAGGGTAGTGTTCCGGCTAGAAAAAACTAAGATGCATCTTCAACCTCAGTTCTGCAAATGGATCCACATGGACAGACCTCTGCAGCTGTATGGAACCCCATAGACTTCAATGAGGCTCTGAATGGATGGAGAACTCTCTCCAGTTGCAGGATCAGCACCTACTGCCCTGGCTATACTAGATAGTTTTAGCTATGCTGGTGAAAACTTCCAGTATGAACGAACTGCACTGGTATAAAATACTGACAAGACCTTTCCCAGTAAGTTGGTCTGGTATTTGCCCTATTTTGCACTTTTGTAGTGCCTACAATAGAGTTACATTGGGTCAAAGTGTTTAAGTGAGTTAGGCTCCTGAGCGCCTACATCACTTTTGAAAATGGGATTTAGGCACTTTTGAAACTTTTACTCCAAGTCTAGACAAGCCCTAAGATGCCTATAGGCTAGTGGTACTCACCCTTCCACAGCTGGAAAGTCACCTTTTATGCAGACAGCCACCAAATATTTTTAAATAGCTGGAACAGTTTGTAGTACCATAAAAGATTATTTTATGCTAAAGCACTATCTTTAAAGCTAAAAGATCACAGAAGTTTCCACTCACCTTACTTAGCTTCTAGAACAAATATAGAGTCAGCCCATCTAGGGTGTGCATGTGGGGGGGTGGGTGTCTATTTTTTAAATTGCCATTTTCCCTAAGACATGCTCGTGGGGGAGAGGGGGAATTTGCTTTATGCCTTGTTCAGACATACAAAGAGTCTGATATGCAGCTCTACGAAGAGTGGAAGACTGAGGTCATGTCTATACTACAAACTTTGATTGATGCATGTTCTGTCAGCATAAAACCGCTGTAGTTAGTAAATTGCTTGTGTGCGTGTGTTCTCACTAAGAGTGCTCGTGTTGCTGTGCAGGGCAATGCACCATGGGGAGGTATCCCAGTGTGCAACCCACAGCCATCCAGCGCACTCTCTTTTGGGAAGTTTTGGCAATGCATGGTGGAACAGAAAGGAGTCACACAGGGTGACTAGGAGTATGGGGTCAGCTTCCCAGCAACTGTCTCCATCCCATAATATCAACACCCCACAATTTTCACACCTTTTAAAAAAAAATCCCACAAATCCACACAGCCCTCCTAGCTGTCTGTCATCTCTGGACAGACACACAGGGGGCTGGAACAATTTGTGCAGCGGGGGTGCTAAGAGCCACTAAAACAAACTGTAAACCCTGTATATAATTGAAACCACTTCCAGCCAGGGGTTGCGGCAGCACCTGCCACACCCGCAGTTCTAGTACCTGAGCAGATGCATGGAGCTGCACAGCTCTGCACTATTGTCAGAAGAATTGCAAGGAGAGGACGCACAATGCTCTGATATATGCAGAGTTGTGAGAACATGACTATTTCTTGGAGGACAGATTGCTGTGGGACGCTGTCTTTAGTCTTGATAGGTCAAGACATCCATATTTTTACCTTACTTGCTGTATTATACTTATCCACCCTAGACTATTGTGTGTGTTGATTCAGGGATCTCCGGGACATTCTTTATTCAATCTTTCTTAGGTGGCTGCTGAAAAAAATCAAATTTTGTTTGACAGCCCTGGATATGAAATGTCTTGTGGGAAGCAATGCATTATTCTCTCCTAAACTAAAATGGTAAATTCTCATTCCCTGATGTTATTTGCTAATAAGACAGTTATCAAAGACTTGTCTTGCGGGTCTCTGTGATTCCAGGCATACATTTTAAGGGACCAGAGTCTCAAGATCACAAAGCATTGGCATGCCTGGGATTAGAAGCAAGAATTCCCAGTCCTATACTCAATCAACCAGACCAAGTACTTTTATAAATAATGCAAAGAAATTAGAAGGCTATTAATACAAATGGGCAATTAACACTATTTTATATCAAATTAAAGTTTAATGTATTTCCCTCTTGACTTAGACCACTCTTTTTTCCCCTTTATTAATCTTTAAATCCCCCACTCCTACCTTTCCAGTTCCTGAGCCCAGATCTCTCCTCTTTTACTCTGTCTTCTTTGGGTTTCCGTTCTTCAGGGATTTCAAGCTACAGAATTGCCAACCCTAAATATTCAAAATACATGAGATTATCTTAAAATACAGTAACAACTTTAGGGGCTTTTTATCTGCCTTCTGGTGTTTGAGCCTTCAGGAGTCCATTTACCAGCTTTTCTTGGCAATCAGCAGGGCTAGAACTTAGTTTTTAATAAATGAAAGATTCTCACATAGTTAGTTACACAGTTCTAGGAGCTCTGGGTTATCAGCAAAACACCAAATGTTGCCGGGCCCATGGTCAAATCGTGAGAGTTGGGAGCAATAAGTTTATGCAGTCATTTATGCCCTTGTTTCTTTTTCTTCCATTTAATTTTTTCCTCTATCTCCTGACACCTGGACCAATCCATATGCTACAGGCTGCAGTCCAACTGCTTAAGATATTATCTCACCAACTTGATATATATTCTGCTAACTGTATTTTTCACTCCATGCATCTGATGAAGTGGGTTTTAGCCCACGAAAGCTTATGCCCAAATAAATTTGTTAGTCTCTAAGGTGCCACAAGGACTACTCACTGTTTTTGTTCTCACCCACTTTGAGTCTCATGCAGATGTCAGAGAGGATTTATGTTGGCAGTACTGCCTATCAGGCTGCACCATCCCTTTGTCCCAGGGTCTGCATCAGTATCTCACTACTCAATCTCTCTCCCTCCTGTTTACTATTTTATTCCACTCAGCCTTCACTTTTAAGGGGACAGGGCACTGGCTAATTGTGTGGCTATAATTCAGTGGTTCTTAAACTTTTGTACCAGTGACCCCTTTCACACAGCAAGCTTCTGAGTGCAACCCTCCCTTATAAATTAAAAACACTTTTTTATATATTTAACACCATTATAAATGCTGGAGGCAAAGCTGGGGTTGGGGTGGAGGCTGACAGCTTGTGACCCCCCACATAATAACCTTGTGACCCCCTGAGGGGTCACGACCCCAGTTTCAGAACCTGTGCTGTCATTGGTTGTGCCTTTGTCTCACTTATCTGTTCCCCTGCTCTGCTTAGAAATCCAAAGCAGTGGCTTTTCTTAACCTTTCAGATTACTGTACCCCTTTCAGGAGTGTGATTGGTCTTGCGTACCCCCAAGTTTCACTTCACTTAAAAACTACTTGCTTGCAAAATCAGACATAAGAATACAAAGTAGTTACAGCACACTGTTACTGAAAAATCACTTACTTTCTTTTTTTCACCATATAGGTATAAAGTAAACCAATTGGAATATAAATATTGTACTTACATGTCAATGTATAATATATAGAGCGGTATAAATAAGTCACTGTATGAAATTTTAGTTTGTATTGACTCGCTGGTGCTTTTTATGTAGCATGTTGCAAAACTAAGCAAATATCTAAATGAGTTGCTGTACCCCCTGAAAGACCTCTGCGTACCCCTAGGGCAGGGGTGGCCAACCTGAGCCTGAGAAGGAGCCAGAATTTACCAATGTACATTGCCAAAGGGCCACAGTAATACGTTAGCAGCCCCTCATCAGCTCCTGCCCACCGGCAGCCGTGCCAATCAGGGCTTCCCCCTCCCTCCCCGCACCTCCCGATCGGCTCTTTCATGGCATGGCATGCAGGAGGCTCTGAGGGGCAGCAAGGGGGCAGGGCCTGTGGCAGAGCCAGGGGTTGAGCAGCGAGCACCCCCCGGGCACATTGGAAAGTTGGCGCCTGTAGCTCCAGCCCCGGAGTCAGTGCCTATTACAAGGAGCCGCATATTAACTTCTGAAGAGCCGCATGTGGCTCCGGAGCCACAGGGTGGCCACCCCTGCCCTAGGGGTACATGTACCCCTGGTTGAGACCCCACTGCCCCCAAAAGATACTGTTTAAATGTGCAAAACAGTAGGGGCTGGAGCTGGGGGTAAAAACAGGGAATTAATTGCTGCCGGCTCTGAGGCCTGCCATGTTGTCATGTCCCGTCCAGCCCCCCCAATAGTTACTGCTGAGAAAATAAAGGAACATCCCCACCTACTTGGCATAAATATCACTACACAGCAACAGCCCCAAAACGCTGCACACATATTAGAGAGCGAAAGTATAAATATCAATTCAGGCGGCGCTACACCCTAATTAAGCAGCCGGGTTACAGCCACGTGTGTCCCAATTACTGGGTCGCAGCACATTGCACGGGTAGGGTGCTGTTTGACTCCTGCTTTCCCGGGGAGATTAACAACGTCCCCCGCCCGCCCGATCTCAGGTTGCCTGGTCTCCCCCTCACTACCCACCCTTTCGCCTCCGCAGCGAGCTCCCCGGCTGCAGAGCCGCGCGTCGCCGGCACCTCGCGCAGGCCACGAAGCCAGCGTGGTGTGAAGCGAAACTCCCCCGCTCAGCAAGCTCCAGCCTTGGTGAGAGCGGGGAGCCGCGGGGAGGGGCGGTGACCTGTCCTCCACCTGTGAGACTCGTCCTCCCCCTCCCCCTGCCTCGCACACACAAGGAAATGCAGCTCCACTGGCTTGGAGTGGAAAACAGGGAGACCCGGGGGAGCAGCCAGGGGGGAAACTTCAGCTAAAACCTCTCGCTCACAGGCCCTGGGTGCTGCCGCCGCCGCCGCCGCACAAGTGAGGAGCTTTAAAGACTTTTTTAAAGAGGGGAATGGGAGAGAGATCGTGGGGAGGGTCGGGAAAAGTGCATGGGGCGCGGTCTGGATTTTCTCGGGGAAGGAGACTGTGCAGCCAGGGATCTAGAGGCTGGGTTTTTGTGGACTAGAGCATGGCCGGGGTCTTACATGGTGGGGATTTGGGGGGGGGGGGGGGGGGGGGGCGTCATGCCAGAGGAGCTGGGGCTGGGTTGGACTCTCTCTGAGAGTGGCCCCTGCTGGTTGGGGAAGAGATAGGTGTGACCCTTTCTAAGTCCTGCACCTGCTGTTTTTGTGTTTTTTGTTTACTAAGCACTTGATTTTCCCAGAGGACCGAGCTAAAGGGTGTGGGACATTTTCCTCTTCAGAGGGGGCTCATGGGGTTGAAATTTTAGACTAGGAATCCAGACTGGTAGATGTGAAAATCAGTCTATCCCTTTTGCAGGTAAGGAAATTAAAGAGCCGAGAAATATAAGTCAACTGTCCCCAGATCACACGGTCAGAAATGGGCAGAGCTGGGAACTAGGGCACGTTAGGATAGTAGGGTACTGTAGTTCCACAGCTAAGGATTCAGGCACGGTATATGCGCCCCAAAACTACAGCACTGAGGCAGAGTACAGAATGAATATTCTGAGCCTGTACACGTACACAAGTTAATTAGTTGGACAAAACTAATTTTAAAGTGAGAACTTTAAATTTATCATTCTGTGTCTCTGAGTGTGTACACAGAGCCTGCGTAATCTTAATGGACAAATGAAAACTTTTCATAATTAAAAGTCATTGAAATCTCATGTATTGGCTACATTAGAAGAAACTGTGGTCATTTTTTGCCACTTTATAACTGTCTCCTTCAGCAAAGAATTTCACAAAGGGCCCATCTTTCAAATTAGCTGCAATCTCCTTTTGTTCTCAATGAAAGTGAGGCCACAAGCTGCTCTCAGGAAAGACAGTGGCCCACTGTCAAAATGGTCATAGCATTCCTTTGAGAAAAATGGAAGTGAAGCCGTTCCCTGCCTTCAGGGAAGATGGTGGTTCCCCATTTGTCAGCCATACAACCTTAACTCCTCCCTTCACTGCCACCACCAGGGGAAAAATGAGGAGGGGAGGATGGAGGGGATGTTTTTACAAATCAGTTACATCTAATTTGGGTCTAGAAATATTTATGCATTAATCACAATTGTTTGGTTGTTACATGGTATCCCTACACAGCTGAGTTGAGGCATGGAACTATGTGGTTATTACATGTAAACAACCTTAACACCTTGGGATTCCTTTTAAGGTTAACCTTACATTTGAATTTCCTAAATTTATAACATTGATTGTTGGAGGATAATTACAACACCTCTGTCAGGGTTCCTTCCCCACTATGAATGCTAGGGTACAGGTATGGGGACCCACATGAAAGACCCTCTAAGCTTATTTCTACCAGCTTAGGTTAAAACTTCCCCAAGGCACAAAGTGTTTGCCCTTGGATTAGGTAAATGCTGCCACCACCAAGCAATTTAACAAATAATCAGGGAAAGGACCACTTGGAGTTCTTATTTCCTCAAAATATCCCCCCAAATCCTTACACCCCCTTTCCTGGGGAGGCTTGAGAATAAAGAAGATGAGCACAGACCAACCTCGGGTTTTTAGGAATGCTAAAAACCCCAATCAGATTCTTAAAAAAAGATAAAAGAACAACTCTGTAAGATTAGAATGGAAGATAATCTCACAGGCAGTCAAATTTAAAACATAGAAAATCTCTCTAGGCAAAACCTTAAGTTACAAAAAGACACAAAAACAAGAATACACATTTCCTCCAGCACAGCGAAATTCACAAGCCAAAACAAAGAAAACCTAAAGCATTTTCTAGTTAGATTACTTACTAACTTTACAGGAGTTGGAGGGCTTGCTTCCTGATCTGTTCCCGGCAAAGGTATCACACAGACAGACAAAAGCCTTTTCCCTCCCTCCAGATTTGAAAGTATCTTGTCCCCTCATTGGTCATTTTGGGTCAGGTGCCAGCCACGTTACTTGAGCTTCTTAACCCCTTACAGGTAAAAGGACTTTGCCTCTGGCCAGGAGGGATTTTATAGCATTGTATACAGAAAGGTGGTTACCCTTCCCTTTATATTTATGACAACCTCTAATGTATTTTACCCTAAATAACTGAGGATAATGTACTCTCAATCTTATCCCATGTTAATAGTTTAGTTTTTTTGGGAGGGGGGGCACGCGTGTCTGGGCACATAGCCTAGGTTGAAGCACAAGCTATAGACCAGGGTGGGCAAACTGCGGCCCAGGGGCCACATCTGGCCCTTCAGATGTTTTAATCTGGTCCTTGAGCTCCCGCCAGGGATCAGGGTCTGGGGCTTGCCACATGGCTCCTGGAAGCAGTGGCGTGTCCCCCCTCCAGCTCCTACGCTTAGGGGCAGCCAGGGGGCTCCGTATGTTGCCCCCGCCCCAAGCGCTGGCTCTGCAGCTCCCATTGGCCAGGAACAGCAGCCAATGGGAGTTGCAGAGGTGGCACCTGCGGATGGGGCAGCGCACAGAGCTACCTGGCCACATCTCCACATAGGAGCCGGAGAGGGGACATGCCACTGCTTCTGGGAGCTGCTTGAGGTAAGTGCCACTCGGAGCCTGCACCCCTGAACCCCTCCTGTGCCCCAACCCCAGCCCTGATCCCCCTCCTGCCCTCTGAGCCCCTTGGTCCCAGACCAGAGAACCGTTCTGCACCCCAACCCCTCATCTCCAGCTTCACCCCAGAGCCCGCACACAACCACCCCCCCCCCGTATCCCAACCCCCCCCCAGTCCGGAGCCCCCTTCCACACCCTGAACTCGTTCCTGGCCCCACCCCAGAGCCCTCACCCTCTCCCACACCCGAACCCCAATTTTGTGAGCATTCATGGCCCGCCATACAGTTTCTATACCTAGACGTGGTCTCGGGCCAAAAAGTTTGCCCACCCGTGCTATAGACAGAACTATAATCCTCCCTTTAAAGGGCATTTGTGTTCTCTCCTTAAACATACTAGCAGGGATAAATTTTGCTCTCAGATGTACATGGCTCCTAGTAAAGTCAGGGAGAACCACATATGCACACAATGCAGACCTAAATAGGTAGGTGTGCATTTCCTATGCTTAATGTCTTATACAAAGACACCATTACAGGAGTCTTGAGATATGCTTTATATAAGAACACAGGAGGACGATATGCATTGTCCTTGTACTCAGGCTAGGAGAGAAGAAAAATCTGTTTAAATACCTGTACTGTTGAACGCAGAAAAGTCAAAGTTACTTGGCAATGGAAAAGTAAAAGGAAGGGAACTTACTTCCTTGTTGAGAAGCTACATCTTACTCATGGACTAAGGACAGCTTCCTTACCCTCCCCTCCCTTCCCCAACACTGTACTTCTCAATCACTTTACTGAAATCCTAACTAATTCAGAGGTGATCATTTTGTGTAAATGCTGGTCAATGAGTAATTAGAACTATAAACTGAATTGGTTTTATCTCTCTAGCTCAGAAGAGTTCAGCAAGAAGAAATACATGTGAAAAACAAGATGGCTGATGCTGAGACACCTCACCTCAATAAGCAGCACCAATATTATGAGAGCCACAGATCTGACAGACACCATGAGGAGAGAAGAGCTAAAAAGCCATACCCATTCAATGGAAGGTATGTCTCCTTTGTCCCTCACTATGGGGTGCGGAGCTTGTTTGTTTTACATTCATGTTGTGGTTATTACAAATACCAGGAAAGACATATTCAGCTTTGAAATTCAGAAATGTGAATATGCCACATTCAGAACTGTGACGGAATTATTTTGCTGTTGGAAGTTTTAAGGAGTCTAATTAAACATTCTTTGACTAAAGAACTATGTTGAGGGAGAACTAGGTCATGTGGGCTGGCAGGAAAGGAAGGCGGTGAGGCTGAGTCATGGAGGTGGAGAAGGAAGATGGGAAGAGCTGAGTTGTGGGCATGAGAAGATGTGGCTGGGTCATATGACCAAGGAGGGGGGTCATGGCCTGGTCTTCCCAGAGGTTACAATTGGAGCAGGCTTGTCTATAGGCAGAGTTGCACTGGTTTAACTGAAGATGCTGTTTAATTGAACAGATGCTAAGGCTGAGTGAACACTTTTTTCAACTAGGAACAGGTTTAAGCTAAACCAAAATAAACTACTGTAAACATGTGTAGTCACTCTTTAGTAAACCAGTGTTAGTGTGTCAGCAAGGCCTCAATGTCTGCGGTAGATGTGGTGCAACATGTGAAGCAGCTAATGGTAGGGTTGCCAACTTTCTGACTGCAGAAAACTGAACACCCTTGCCCCCTGCTGACTCCATCCCCCACTCCCTCCATCGCTCGCTCTCCCCAACCCTTGCTCACTTACTCATTTTCACCAGGCTGCGGCACTGGGTTGGGGTGCAGGCTCCTGCTGGGGATGCAGCCAGAAATGAGGGGTTCAGGGTGTGGGCTCCGGCTGGGGGCGGGTGGGCTCTGGGATGGGACTAGGGATGAGGGGTGCAGGAGGGTGCTCCAGGCTGGGGCAGGGGGTTGGGGTGTGGGAGGGGGTGAGGGCTCCAGCTGGGAGTGCGAGCTCTGGGGTGAGGCCAGGGATGAGGGCTCCAGCTGGGAGTGCGAGCTCTGGGGTGAGGCCAGGGATGAGGGGTTTGGGATGCAGGAGGGGGTGAGGGCTGCAGGCACATCTCTGCAGCTCCTAGGCAGAGGGACGGTTAGGGGGCTCTGTGAA